AGGAGGAGGAGGAGGAGGAGGAGGAGGAGGAGGAGGAGGAGGAGGAGGAGGAGGAGGAGGAGGAGGAGGAGGAGGAGGAGGAGGAGGAGGAGGAGGAGGAGGAGGAGGAGGAGGAGGAGGAGGAGGCAGGAGGAGGAGGAGGAGAGGAGGAGGAGGAGGAGAGGAGGAGGAGGAGGAGGGGGGAGAGCATTGGACTTCCGGACGCTGCACAAGAATATGGAGCAACAGCAGCAAGAGCAGGCACGCGGCAGCGCGGCCCCCCAGCAGCACGGAGGGGCGAGCATTGGCAGGGCACCGGGGGTGGTCCTCCTCCTCTTCCTCCTCCTCCTCCTCCCCCTCCTCCTCCTCCTTCTCCTCCTTCTCCTCCTCCTCCTCCTCCTCCTCCCAAGACCGCCCATAGGAGCCCTCTGTGGCGCAGCCGGCCCTGTCGCGCCCCCCTTGGGCACGTGCCAAGGATCATGCAATCACGGATGCGGGACAATGGGGATGGAATGGGGGGCCACGGAGGGAAGCACGGTGGGCCGTTGTCGGGCAGGGGGGGAACGCGGTCGGTCGGTCGGAATAGGCAGAGGGGGGCAGGGGGGGGAAGGGGGGGGAGGCGGGTGGCACGGGGGCAGGGGGGGGCGGGGGGCGGCGGTGCACAGGGGGGGGCAGCGGTGGCACGGGGGGGGCACAGGCGGCAAAGTGGGGGCAGAGAGCCCGAAACGGTCCAGGGTTCCAAAGCAGAGGGAAGGCACCAGAGGGGGAAGGGGGAAGGGGCAGGGGGACTACAACCCCGGAGGGGGGGAGGGGGCCCGGGGTCTCGTAAATCAAGGGGGGGGGGGGGGGGGGGGCGGGGGGAAGGGGGGGGCACGGGGGCGCGGGTCGGCAGGCGGGGGTGGGCACGGTCGGCCGGTCGGAATGAGCAGAGGGCATGGGCCACAGGGGAAAGAAGGGGGGGGGGGCACGCGGGGGCCACGGCCTGGTCGGTCGGTCGGAACGGGGGAGCAACGGGGGGGCACGGTCCGGTCGGGCAGGGGGGGGCTACGCTACGGTCGGAATAAGCAAAGGGAGGGGAGGGGGGAAGGGGGGGAAGGGGGGTGGCGCGGGGGGCCACGGTCGAGCAGGGGGGGGCAGCTCTGGCCTCCTCTGCGGATCACAATCGGCACGGTAGACCCGTGCGAGAGCCCCCAGACGCCCCCAGAGAGTTCCAAGACGGCCAGGGAAGGCCCCAAGAGAGCTCCAAGACATCCCGACAGGGGTACTACACCGCCCAAGAGGGCTTCGAGACGGCCCCGGGGAGCTCCAACAATCCCAAGAACGCCCCAAGGCGGCCCAACATGGCCTCCCGACGGCCCAAGGGACACCCAGTTCGCCGAAAGACGGCTCAATCAAATGAACCCGGACCCCAGAGGCCCCCCGATAGCGCCCCAAGACCACACAACGCGGCCCCAGGGCTTGCCAACGGGGCTCCACAACGGCCCAGCACGCGGGGCTCCAGGGCGGCCCTGGGGGCCAGCAAAAAACGACCCAGGAGGCCGCGAAGACGCTCCCAAGACGGCACCATGGCGGTCCAAGACCGCCCAGCATGGCTTCACTGCACCGTCCGAGCGCCCCCGGACTTCCCCCAGACACCACTCAGATGCATTCTGGGCCACCCAGACAGATCCAGGTTGCCCGGGAGGGCTCCAAGGCATTCTAAGGGGCCTCGAAAAGGGGCCGAGGAAGGTTTCATTTGGCCCCAAGAGAGCCCTATGTGCGGCCCTAGAGGTAGGCTTGTCTGCAGTGTTCCCGCCATGACAGCAAGACCAGGCACACTTGAAGTAAAATACGTGGACGTAGTCCAGGCGTCAGTAATGTCACTCCTGCATTGCAGGGCCCACTGCGTGCGGGAAAGGTCCTGGCCCGAGTGGGGGCTCTGGTGCTGTGGGAGCGCCCAGACGCCTCAGACGGTTGTGCCGCGATGCTTGAAGCGGGCAGGCAGGACCCAAGAGGCCTCCAAGACAATCCCAGATGCGTTCGAGACAGTCAGAGAGCGCCCCAAGATGGCCCCAAGATGGCCCAAGAAGCACCCAAGCCGCCTCAAGAGGGCTTCAAGGTAGCATCCAAGAGGGCCCCAAGAAGCAAAACCGTCCCGATCCCGTGTGAAAGTGTACATCGTTAGCGTCGCCACTTGTACAAGACGGCCCTAAAGGCGAGACGCCCGAGACCGCCCAAGACTGCCCAAATAGCAGCCCAAGACGGCCCAAGATGGCCCCAAGACGGCCCAAGAGGCGCCTAAGACGGCTCAAGATAGCCCCAAGACGGCACTAGTCTCATGTATAACTACGGGATCCGCGCGTGCCAGAAAGGCGAGCAGTGGCAGAAGGCTCTGTCTCTGGTAAGAGAAATCCGCGGGATGAAATTGGACCCAGACTTGTTCACCTGTGCGATCGTAGCCAGCATATGCGAGCATGGCGGACACTGGAAGCTGGCGCAGTCGTTGACAAGGGAGATGTGCGGCTTGATTGCAGCGGAATAGCGCAGTCAGCTCCATAGTGGCAGGCCCGTGTGCGTGTAAGGGCGGTCGTCGGCGAAGGCAGCGCATTTCGCGATCCCATGGTGCAGCACCCCTGCGGTGGTTCAGGCTGATCCACTCGCGGGCTCCCTCTGGCAGCCCTGATACGGTGGGGGCGTTCGTTAAGGAATGTGCACAATAGGTTTCCGACCCTGGGGGATTCCTTGCTCATCTGATAAGGGCAACGGTGATGTCCATGGTTAAACATCAGTTGGAGTTCCACGGGCTTCCAGACCCTGGATTCTTTATCGAAGGGCTCCTCACCCAACACCCCATCCGCAGGTCCCAGAAAGGCCCTGGAGAGGCTCCACGGAGCCCAACACAGTCGCCGAGGACCGCCAGAATGCCCAAGCGGTCCCCAGGGCATCCCCCGCCAGAGCAAAACGAATCAAGAGCACTGCAGGCTTTTGCCCCGAGTAGTGCGTGCACCTACGGGTTCTTGCATGATTTGAACGGCATTGGACATGGTAGTCGCGAGTTCTCGCTCTTGTCCTGGTGCTTGTATCGGTGCTGCTCTATGCAGGAACGTTCGGGTTCGGGTCGTTTCGGGGTGAGGTTCCGAAACGCCTCCAGCTCGGATCGGTTCGCTTCGGCATCGTAAGCCATTTAGTTCGGCTCGGTTTTGTGCACTGCACCGTCCGGTTCAGTCCGATGTAATTTTTCGGGGGGGGCAGGGAGGGGGCGGTCCAGTTCGCAGATGGCTTGCCCACCGCCCGGCCCAGTTCGACATCGTACTTTGTTGGGCTGGACGCCGATCTCGTCGTCTTCTCAGGTCCTCGTCCTCCTCTTCGACTTCGTTCTCCCACCCGACTGTCCTCCTGCCAGGAAGGAGGGAGGTCCCAGGAGGAGGGAGGGAGGGGGGAGGAAAGAAGGAGGAGGATGAAACCCTGAAGTCAGTGAATGCATACAACAAACTAGTTACGTAATCGTTTCGCTCATTCCGTCGGCCCATATTGCCTCGCCGCTTGGGGGCCGTGCTGGGGCCTCTTGGGGGTTTCTGGGAGGCAGTTTTGAGACCTCTTGGGGACCGTGTTGGGGCCTCTTGGGGCCCCTGGATGCCTCTTGGGGGCCTCTTGGGGCCTGCTGGAGGCCTCTTGGGGCTGAAGGCTGGACTTCACGGTTCCTGGTCCCCGTTTTGGGCCTCTCTTGGGGCCGTGAGCCGTCTTGGGGCCCTCTTGGAGGCTTTTTGGACCGTCTTGGGGCGGTCTTGGGGGCCAATTGGGCCGTCTTGGAACGTTGGAAAGCCGAAAAGTCAAGAAACGTCGCACATGCGAAAAATGTACGTTATCCGAAGGGGATGGGGCGATTTTTGCCTGTCGGGGCCCTCTTGGAGAGCCTCTTGAGGCTCTCTTGGGGCTTTTTCGTGGCCTCTGGGGCCATCTGGAGACCATCTTGAGCGTCTTGGAACGATCTTCCGGCGACTCGGGGCCCCTGGGGCCGTGCAGGGGGGCGTCCCGGCGCCCTCTTGGCGCGATCCTGAAGCCCCCCGGGGGAGTCGGCCGGGCATCGGCCGGGCATCGCCTGAGGTACTTTTCGTCCGGGGGTCCTCAGGGGCCGCCGCGCGCGCGCGAGCTAGAAATACTGTCAACCTGTTACCAGAGATCTCAGCACGCCTCTGGCTCGTTGGACCGGCGAGCTTCGGGCATGACGCAAATTCGACATTGTAGTTTGTTGGGCAGGAGTCGACTACACCTGGGAGTGACCTTTCGCCGGAGTGACCTTTGGTGCGGGCCCGTCGGGGTTCCCCGATTGCCGAACGCGATGCGATAGTAGCGTCGTGCGCCCTTGCGTTTGGTCCCCCCGCGGCCCCCAATGAGCCGCGCACGAAAGGTCACTCTTACCCAGGGTCACTCTTACGTGTAGCCGAAGGAGGTCCCAGGAGGGAGGAGGGAGGGGGGAGGAAAGAGGGGGGAGGGGGGGACACTGAAGTCAATGAATGCGCACACTGAATTAATTGTTTCGCATATGACGCAAAAGTGTTGGCGGGGAGGCGTGTGGTGCCTCCCCTGAAGTATCGGCCAGGCGTATGGTGCCCGGGCCTTGATGTTTCGGGGACCTATGGTATCCCACATTGCCCACCCCGTCCCGCACACTGAGATTTCGCACCCTCCCCTATGGTGAGAGAGTGGGCGTGCGGGCCGCCCCCCCTGACGCCGCACGTCCTGCGCCAGGGGTGGTAGGGATTTCCATTGAAGCCAATGAGTTCCATGAAGTCACTCTCGCACGTCCCCCCCCACCCACCACATCTGGTCGCCGTTGGAAGCCCTATAGTGGCCTCTGGTGCGGTCGGGTGGTATCGCCTTATGGTGGTTGATGCACCCAGCCCAGTGCCGAGCCCTATGGTGGTTCTGGCCAGGGGGACGGCGCAAAAGGAGCGAGGCGGTCCACAGGCGGGGAGTCACGCCGCAGCCGCCGCCACCTCGCGGCGTCACGCCCCCGTCGAACACCTCGCTCCTGCTCCCCCGAGGAGGAGGGAGGAGGGAGAGAGGAGCAGGGAGGAGGGAGAAGGGAAAAAAGAGCAGAAGGGGGGAGGAGGAGGAGGAGGAGGAGGAGGAGGAGGAGGAGGAGGAGGAGGAGGAGGAAGAGGCCGTCCCAAAAACGTACCCTCCCCGCCCCTCGAAGTCCATCAATTCACTGAAGTCTATGCTGGGCACTAGACGCCCGGCAAGGAAAGCAAGTCCCGTTCACGGTCCAACAGGATGAAATTTTGAAGTCAATGAATGTATACATTGAATTAGTTAATTCGCGCATGACGCAAAGTTCAAAGTTGGCAGGGAGGCGTGTGGTGCCTCCCTGAAGTGTCGGCCGGGCACCATGGTGCCGAGGAGGAGATAGGAGGGAGCAGAAGGAGGGAGGGGGGTCAAAGGGAGAAGGAGGAGGAGGAGGAGGAGGAGGCAGGAGGAGGGAGCAGAAGAGAAGGAGGGAGGGGTCAGGGGGAACCCGTCCTGACCCCCCGTCCTCGATTGAGCCTCCCCCCCGATCAAATTGAGGCGAGGGGATGATCTCGACCGAAGGGGGGCGAGCCATTCCCGCTAGAACTTCCCCCCCGACACCCCATCACCCCCCCTGAACCCCTCCCTTGACCTTCCCCGATCCCCTCCCCCTGACTCATCCCCCTGACCGTCCCTGACCCCCCCCCCGACCCTCCCGACCGCCTGGAACGACAGGCGGGTGCAGCAGAAGACGTAGCCTGGACAGCACGACGAGTGCGAGCGGTGAGCCGACAAGTGGTTCACGATCGAGAATATCGCAGAGGCCTCTGGTCCGTGCCGCCGATCCGGGACGCTCTGCGGAGCTCCGAGCGTTCTCGCCATATTCAAGAGCTTGTGAGCATTACTTCGAGGAGGCAGGAGGGAGGAGGAGGAGGAGGAGGAGGAGGAGGAGGAGGAGGAGGAAGAGGAGGAAGAGGAGGAGGAGGAGGAGGAGGAGGAGGAGGAGGAGGAGGAGGAGGGAGGAGGAGGAGGAGGAGGAGGAGGAGGGGGAAAAGGAAGAGAGGGGGAGGAGGCTTTTGGCCATCGCCTTAGGCAGCATGTGTTGAATGGAATGTTTGCGTCGTGTCCAACGCTCGAACATGTTAGCGGGCTAGTTCATGGACGGGTTGGCTCGTTGGTGGGTCGTTGGGCGGGTCGTAGCGTGAATATACAATCATAGATTGCTCCTTCCCTTCGTTTCTATATTTTCTGATCGAAGATGCCGACGGCGAATCACCGCCGCTCCCTGCCTTTTGGGAAGCGCCTATGTGGCCGAAAGTTGGACTAGAGCTTTGCCAAGCTATCATCAGACCATGTGTTCCCCCAGCCGTCGTTGGACCCCTTCGGGGACCACGTGAGGAAGAGGAGAATGAGGAGAAGAATGGAAAAGGGAGTAGGAGGAGGAAGAGGAGGAGGAGGAGGAGGAGGAGAAGGAGGAGTAGACCTCTTGCGAGCCTCTTGGGGCACTCATGGGGTCTTCTCGGAGCTTCATGGGAGCCTCTAGGCTTGTTCGGAGCCTCGTTGGCCGTCTTAGTGCGTTCCTGGGCCGTCCCACGCCGTCGAGAGCCGTCTTGGGGGCCTCTCTGGACCGTCTTGTGGCCCACTTGGGGCGCTTCAGGGCCGTCTTGGAGGCCATCTTGTGCGTCATGGAGGCCTCTTGGGCCGTCTTGAGGGCCTCTTGGGCTGTCCTGGGGCCGCCTTGGCGGCCCCTTGCTCGCTCTAGGGGCGATCTTGGAGGCCTCTTGGGCCGTCTTCGGCCTTCGGAAGGCCGAAAAGAAGTAAATGCCAAAATCTGTCAACAAAAACCTCAGGGAAATCAATGATTCTGGCCTTGTCGGGCTTTCCTGGAGGACCTCTTGGAAGCCTCTTAGGCCGTTGGAGGCCTCTTGGGGGCCTCTTGGGCCGTCTTGGGCAATCTTGGAGCCATCTTGGGCCGTCTTGGTGGCTTCTTGGACCCTCTTGAGCCGTTTTGGAGGCCATCTTGGACGATCTCGCGCCAATTTGGAGACCATCTTGGGCCGTCTTGGGAGGATCTGTTGTGGACAGTGCGGTTGTGTGCGGTCTTCGTGCGGCTTTCCGGGTGGCCGGCGCGTTGTGCCGAAGCCAGGGGGAGTCTTCAAATCATTTTGGTGACGGACCCGACCATATGCAGTGGTCAGAGCCGTGTTGTGGCACCGCTTTGGGTGGAGTTCCCAATGGGGCCACGAACCGCATGAGGTGTGCGCCAAAATGGGGCGGCACCGCCACGTGAACCCCACCACTGGGACCTTCGGTGGAGCTCCCTATGATGCCACGAACCGTGTGAGGGTGCGCCGAAAAGGGGCAGCGCCGGCATTTGGGCCCTGCCGCTGGGGCCTTCGGCTGAGATCCCTATTGGGTCACAGCCGGTGCGAAGGGCGCGCCGAGATTGGGCGGCGCCGCCATGTGGACCCTATCACTCAGGCTTTCGGCTGATCTCCCGAATTACGGAGCCACGAACCGTCTGAGGGGTGC